TCCAATCCCTAAGAATTGAACGTTTACCTCCTGCAGAGGCCAGCTTGGATGCCAAGATTCTTGAGCTATAATGGTAACATCCACCCCCATGTCAAGAAGCCCCACAAGCATCCTGTTATTTATTTGTAGTCTTAATTTTGGTCTTTGATCATTTATAAAAGTCTGCCAAAATACACATTTTTTTTGTTTCCTCCATGTTTGATTCATCCTCCAAAGCTAATCTACCATCCAGAGCGGTATGATTTTTTACAGGCACTGGATTTCCTAATTGTTCTGGGGAGGATTGTCCTCAGTGACTGGGAATGACTGGACCACCTTCAAGAGACCCCCCAAGGGTTTCCCCATGATAAAGGGTTTCCTTGCTTGTCCCTGGTCGATCTACATTCATTGCTTCAGTGTCAGCTTTTGCTGCACCTTCTACACCTAACAGTTTCTGCTGTTACTGAGATGATGATAAAATTTTCCTGTAAATGTTATTTAACACATTAATTTCCTGAGTAATATTAATAGCTTAATATTTCACTATTTTTGCATTTATTTTATCCCCCCCCACACACACACAGGGTTTCTCTGCATAGCCCTGGCTATCCTGGAACTCACTCTTAGACCAGGTTGGCCTCAAACTCACAGAAATAGCCTGTCTCTGCCTCTTGAGTGCTAGGATCAAGGTCATGCACCACCACTGCATTTAAATATTAACATTTTACTTATTTTATTTGTGTGTGTGCGCACATGTGTGACTTCTGATGTATGTACAGAGATCAGAGGACAACTTGTGAGAGTAGATTCTTTGCTTCCACTATGTGTGTTCAAGTTGTCAGGCTTGGCAGATAGTAAGCTCCCATTCTCACTGAGCTATCTCACTGGCTCACACCCTTGCATTTTTGAGGTAAGCCCAACTTAGTCATAAATGAGTACCATATGGAAGTTTATATTTAGTTTGCTATTTGTTTAGGATTTTTATCTTTACCAAAATGGAATTATATTGATCTACTAATTGTGCTGTAACATGATGTTTCTGTCTAGTTTTGCTATTAAGTTCATATTGGCCTTAACCAAAAAAAAAAAAAAAAGAATTATTTAGATACGGTATCATTATGTAAGAGAGGTTCTCAACCTTCCTAATGCTGGGACCCTTTAGCACAGTTTATCATGTGTGGTGATCCAGTCACAAAACTATTTTCACTGCTACTTTATAACTGTAATTTTGCTACTCTTCTGATTTATAGTGTAAATATCTGTGTTTTCCAGTGGTCTTAGGTGACCCCTGTGAAAGGGTCACTTAATCCCCTCTAAAGGGTCACAACCTACAAGTTGAGAAAACTACTGTTACATAGGTTAGGTGAGCCTCAACTCTTGTCCAGACTGGCCTGTATCTCAGCTGTCCTCTGGCCTTAGTTTCTCCAGTACTAAGATCTCATTTGGGCAGCCCTGTGCCTATCTAGGCCTTATAGAATTGACAACATTGTTTTCTCTTCAGTTCATTAAAGAAGTTTATAAAATATTGGTATAATAGGGGGCTGGATAGATGGCTCAGGAATGAAGAGTAGGTACTGGCCTTGCTGAGTACTCAAGTTTGGTTCTAGCTCCCACATAGTATAGCTTATAATTTCCTATAACTCAAGCCCCAGTGGATCCAGTTCTCTCTTCTGGCTTTCGTAGAGACTGTACACACAATGCTGATATCCTTGCACAGGCGCACATGCATGCATGTAATTAAAAATAAACCTTAAAATATAAATATATCTATATTTTGGGAATTTGATAGAGCTGTCATATGATCCCTTTTGCTTGATTTTTAAAAAAAATTTATTTATATATTATGCATACAGTGTTCTGTCTGCATGTATTCCTGCAGGCCAGAAGAGGGCACCAGATCTCATTACAGGTGGTTGTGAGCCACCATGTGGTTGCTGGGAATTGAACTCAGGACCCTCTGGAAGAACAGCCAGTGCTCTTAACCTCTGAGCCATCTCTCCAGCCCCCTTTTTCATAATTTCTATATGTTGGTATTTTCATTTTGCTCATGCATTTCCTTTAGTTATCAATGTTTTCTAGAGTGGGTTAGATTGATATAACATCTTTCAGTAATAATCCAATTGTCTGGACTTCTTCAGAGACAGTTTTTGTCTTCTTATTTCTCTAGATACTTTCATAATTTGTTGTTGTTGTTGCTGAGAATTAGACATTCTGGGGACCCTGTTAAAGCTGTTCCATTTCTTACCACTTGCTGATTTTTGTTTGCTGAAGGCTGCCATTTAGTTTTACAAGCTATTTTTGCAAAATATATTTTTTAAATGTGGCTGCAGGTGTTCTATTAGTTCTGTGATCAGCTGAAAACACAAGTTTTTCTTAAACACCTCTGGCTCCAAAAAGGGGAAATACAAAGGTTCCTGGCTTCCTTAGTGTTTTGATAGCTACCCACGCAAAGTGCTGCTGTGGTGAGAAGTGAAACTGAGGATGTGCTTTGCCGGGGCCCAAGGCACTCACTACAAGGCCAGCCAAGTGCACAGTGCCATGATTGGAAGGCTGTGGTTGCTCCACTGTTTCCCCCAGTACTGGTCAACCACTCCAGGAACAAAACTATTATCCCGTCCCATTGTGGAAGGGGGTGCTCTAATGGGGCTTAGTAATTGGTGTACATATGCTTTTTGCATTGAAAAGATCAGTAGTCTTCTCTATCTGATTATTGAAAACAGCTGATGAAGTTCAGAGTTTCTAAAGTAGTTATTTCTACTTAATTCTACCTTGGTAGAAGGGGTGACCTAAATTTTCATATGCTGCACACTTTGCAGCGGTTTTTTGAAGTGCAAATATTTAAATTTGAAGTGCAAATATTTAAATTTGATTAAGATCTACTCATAATTATTTTTATCTTACGAATTTCCTTGGTGTCACTTCCAATAATTCTTCACCTAAACCATGACAACAGAGGTTTTCTTCTGTGTACTGACGTGGACAGAAGAGGACTTCGAGAATGAAAAGAACATAATAGGGAAGAGTGGCTGGCAGAAGTTGCCTGGGATCAAGACAGGTGAATTGGAGACGGGGATTGGAGAGAAAACCGGCACACTGGTGCTGCTAGGCCTTTGCTGAGGTCAGTTTCCAAGTGGAAAGGGCTGTAGGCTTGCAGTCTCCAAGCGGAGGCTGCCGGTTTCCTGAGGGACTATGCAGTCTGGGCATTGGTTCTCCGGGATGTATTGTGCCATATCTCTGCTCACTCCGCAGCAGCTGGAAACCCAGGAAAGCCCCTTTCTCAGTTCACCATCCTCTATGTGCCCTCTACTGGGAATGCTGAAAAGTTTCATTTTTTTTTAAAAGAAATGCTTAAAGATTTCTATTACTACAGAGCATATATCGAAAGATTAATGCAGAGCTATGAGGCAAAGTTGATAAAGTGCATACATACATCAAACATTTCAGTCAGCCATTGTGGCAACTGAGATGCTTTAGTGGGTAAAGAACTTGCCACCAATCTTGATAACTTGAATTCAATCCCCATGCCCCACAGAATGAATAGAGAAGCAACTCCCGCAGGTATCTTTCGACTTCCACTCACACGTACGGTGGCATAAGCATGCACACCTACACACACAATTAAAAAAATCAGTCAATCATAAATGTAATAACAAGCAAAATTAATAAACCATGCATTGTAGTTTGAAATTGCTTGTCTCTCCCTCCCTTCATTTCCCCCTTGCTTCTTTTTTGTTAGATCTTCCATAAGAGACAACTTTCTTCCATGATTACATCTGGCCTTTCTGCAGTAAGCTTTGTTACATAGTTATTTTAGGAAAAGCAATTAATAACTATGGGATGGTGGTAGATAAACTTTTTTTTTTTAAGATTTTATTTATTTATTATGTATACAACATTCTGCTTCCATGTATATCTGCACACCAGAAGAGGGCACCAGATCTCATAACGGATGGTTGTGAGCCACCATGTGGTTGCTATGTATTGAACTCAGGACCTCTAGAAGATCAGTCAGTGCTCTTTAACCTCTGAGCCATCTCTCCAGCCTGGTAGATACACTTTTATTACAAATATTTTAAAAATATTACTAAAAGCGATTAAATAGCAATTTTCAAAATAGTCTATTACCTAGGACTAGACAGATGTCTAGGTAACTAAGAGCTCTTTCTATTCTGACAAAGGACCCAGGTTCAATTCCCACCACCTGTATGGTGGCTCACAGCCATCTATATCTCTAATTCTAGGAGTTTTGATGCTCTTCTGACCTTCAGAGATTCCTGCATGTTCATGGTGCACATGCGTGAATATGTAACACATACACATAAAATAGAATTAAGTATTTTTAAAAATACATAATGTTGGGGCTGGAGAGATGGCTCAGAGGTTAAGAGCACTGACTGCACTTCCAGAGGTCCTGAGTTCAATTCCCAGCAACCACATGGTGACTCACAACCATCTGTTATGTGATCTGGTGCCCTCTTCTGGTGTGCAGATATACATGGAAGCAGGATGTATACATAATTAATAAATAAAATCTTTAAAAAAATACATATGTTAACTAAGCTCTTAAGCTCTCAGATTCTTGGTTTTGTAGTCAAGTATCTGAATCATTAATTTAAAGTTAATATATTTAGTTTATGGCTTTCACCTTTTCTTATTATTTATCTTGTCAGTATTTATGTTGATAGCTGGGCCTGGTGGCATGTTTCTGTAAACCCGGTACTTGGGAGGTGGAGGAGTTCAGTGTCATCATAGGCTATATAGGTAGCTGGAGGTCAGCCGGGGCTATTAAATATCTTGCTTGAAAAAAATAAATGTGTATTGATGAATCTACTAATACATCTGTATAAGTCAGGTATTCTTAACTGAGTTGTGTTAGTCTAAACAATATTAGTACAAGTAATAGGAATAATTTTACTTATAAGTATTTTGAATTTGCTTTGGAAATAAATACACTTTAAAGGTCACTATTTATAGCTCCCTGCTTATGGAAAAACAATTCATGTAAACTTTCTGTGTTTCAGAAACCTTTTCCCAAAAAGGACAAAGGAACTCAAATCAGTTGTCCATAGTGCTCCTGGATGGAAATTATTTGGTAAAGTCCCTCCCAGAGAAAATCTTCAAAAAACGTCTAAAATTATTCAGCAGGTAAGTTCTAATATGAGTGTGCAGTTTCTCGGGGCTCCTAAAGCATTCCTCATTTGTCAGGTGAGGTGGCACTTGGCTAGCAGCTCAGTTCGTGAGAGCCCAAGGCAGCAGGATCACCCCAAATTTAAGGCTAGGCTAAGCTACATCGTGAACACAAGGTCAACACGGGCTAGATAATGGGTCCTGTCTCAAATAAAGCATTGGTTTTTTAAGCATTTTTAAAAATTATTTTTAAAGGCCGGGTGTTGGTGGCGCACGCCTTTAATCCCAGCACTCGGGAAGCAGGGGCAGGCGGATCTCTGTGAGTTCGAGACCAGCATGGTCTACAAGAGCTAGTTCCAGGACAGCCTCCAAAGCCACAGAGAAACCCTGTCTCGAAAAACAAAAAAACAAAACAAAACAAAAAAATATTTTTAAAGGATTTATTTTTATCTTACGTATAATTTGCCTGTATTTATGTAAATGCACCATATGTGTGCCTGGTACCAGCTGAGGTTAAAAAAATGAAAAAGCACCAGATCCTCTGGAACTGGAGTCCAGATGATTGTGAGCAAACTGGGGTCCTCTACAAGAGTAGTAAGCTCTTTTAACCACTAACAGCCTTCAAGCATTATTTTCTTGAAAAGTAACCATTTTCATTTTTTCTAGATACAAACTTTGGAATTGTAGATACTTACTGTAGTTGTCTTTCTTTCTTTCTCTCTCTCTTTTTTTTTTTTTTTTAAGAAGATAGGCCACAGTGTTTCCTGGTAATATGTTAAGATTGTGAAAATTCTTTAAAATAATAAGGCATTGACTTAACTTTCTAGTTATCCTTGAGTAGCTAAAGGGTAGAGGATACCAAGCATAGCTAATCACTTAGTACTTTGTCTGCAAAGATTTTATGGCCATCACTGCTGTGAACAGATGAGACTGGGACACAAAGCTGAGGGACTGTACCGCTGAACTGGAAGCTTCGCTGCTTTCCGCCTGCACTGAAAGGTGTTGCCCCTGAGCATTGCCTCATAATGCTCCTAGTGATTTACAAGCCAAACCTTTTAGTATTTGCATTACCGAGCATATGGAATTCCTAAAACTTCCACTCTTATTTGACACCTAAGCCTGTGCTACTCAGTACTCGGTTAGTGAAACTGGAAAATGGTGAGCCTGGATCAGTTTGGACTGTTCTAAAACTTTGGATTGTTGTTTAAAAGGAGCTCTCTAGCCTGGCATGGTGGGTGCACCACGCTAATCTCAACATTCACACTTGGAAGACAGCAGTAAGCAGGATCCTCTGAGTTCAAGACCAGCCTGATTTACAGTTTTCAGATTTAATATAGCCAGAATCTATAAAATAATGTTAAAGCTTTAATGATTGTTCATACTAGAAAATCTATTAAGGAGTTAATAATATGTCTTTTGTTTCTCAAGTAATAATTGTTTTTATATTTCATCCTAGTAGTAGTTTTTAGACCTTTAAGAGCACTCGGCTGGCTGTGGTGGCACACGCCTGTAAGGCTCTGGAGGCACAGGGAGGAGGGATGGCTGCAGCACACTCCAGGGCAGCCTGATCAACACAGCAGGTTCACATCAGCAATAATGCAGAAAGTAAAACAAGCAAAAGTTAAAGCACTGTAGTGTCGGGGGTGCAGTTCAGCTGGTAGAGTGCTTGCTAGCATGCTTGCACCAGGTCCTGGGTTTGATCTCTTAGCACTGCATAAACTGGGTGTAGTGGTACATGTGTGTAAGTTCTCAGCTTTATAGGGAGCTTGAGGCTAGCCTGGGCTACAAGACCACACAAAAAAAGACATTGTAATTAATTTCATTTATAAATATGAAAATAGTAAGTAGTTAGTATAGCTGCTTTAGAGTGCTGTCCTAAACCTTTTGTCTACCCACTCTGGTATGCAGAGGAGACATGTGAGTTCTTTATATTTCTGTTGATGCAAACTCAATAGAATCCCATATTTGTCAGGCAGGGGTAAGCTGTTAATAAAGAAGTTTTAATATTAAGTGGTACTAAATACTTTTCAATGGCATTATCATTGTGAATGTTTTCTTCTGAGATGGTGTGAGAAAAATCTGGGTACTATATGAAACAAATAGTATTGGATTTAAAATGAGGATGATGCTTGTAATGAGTTGTCCTACTGGTTCCCAAATAACGACACTGAGACTTCTTACTAATTTTGAAAGCTTGGATCCAGGCATTGGTGGTGCATGCCTTTAATCCCAACACTCGGGAGGCAGAGGCAGGCAGATCTCTGTGAGTTTGAGGCCAGCCTGGTCTCCAGAGCGAGTGCCAGGATAGGCTCCAAAGCTACACAGAGAAACCCTGTCTCAAAAACAACAACAACAACAAAAAAATATGAAGGCTTGGCCTTTAGCTTAGGCTTGTCGGAGCTCTCTCTCCCCCTCCCTCCCTCCCTTTCCTCTCTCTCTCTCTCTCTCTCTCTCTCTCTCTCTCTCTCTCTCTGTCCAATACAGGGTTTCTCTGTGTAGCTGCTTTTGAAACTGGCCTGGAACTCACAAAAATCTGCTTGCCTCTGCCTCCTGAGTGCTGAAATTAAAGGCCACATAGTGTTACTTCTCTTCCATTTTGCACCTCCTGTTTCCTCTTCATGTCTGACTGGAGATTCCACCTTTCTTCTTCTCAGAGACTCTCTGTGTCTGGAGGTCCCACCTATACCTCCTGCCTAGCTATTGGGGGTTCAGCGTTTTATTACACCAAGCACAGCAATACACCTTCAAAGTGTACAAATATCCCACAACATTTCCCCCTTCTTGTCTAAATAAAAAGGAAAGGTTCTAACTCTAACATAGTAAAACTATGTACAATAAGAACAATTATCAGGGAAGAATTACATTCACGATGTCCAGTCCATTAGTACTGGCGATGAGTCCAAAGGTTTGCACCTGATTTACTTTCTGTAAAGTAAATAACTTGTATTACCAACACAAAACTATATTTTCAGATCTCAAAATAGTTTTTTAAACAACTTAAGTGTTTATGTTTTCTTTGGTGTCTTTTACTTTTTTTTTTTTACTGAAAAAATGCATAAGCTTTTAAAGGTATATATATCTGCTTTAACACAAGTATGCAATGTGCTATGTGCACAGGTCAACTAAAGATTATTTTTTATTCTATGTGTGAGCCAGAAAAGGCATGTGCCAACTTTATAAGTCTGTTTGGACTGCATAACCAAACTGTAATACAAATCTCTATCCATGACATACGAAAGAAAGGATGGAATGTTATAAGTCATGAGGACTCTGTAGCCAACAAGATTTATCCTATCTCATCTCATCTCAGAGCTGTTCCCATGTCGAGGGATCAGCATGTATGTCACCTGTCCTGTAGTCTTTCTTGGCTTTTTCCTTGATGTGTGTAATCATGATCCTCAGGAGGTCTCCCCTGATCAAATCTGATCTTCATTCATTTTGAAAAGAACCATAACTTTTTTGTTTCCTGTGGAAACAAAGGCATAACCTCTCCCCCAATACAACATATTTTCTAACTTCCATTTTGAAGTTAAGGCATTCTTAAAATACATAGGTTGGTTTAATTTAGTAGTTTCCATAATCCAGTGTCTCTTAGCAGCTACTGTGTTTTGTCCATTAGCATTTAAAAAATTCAGAGTCAACAAAGCACCATTCAGACACCTGTGTGTTTTCCATTTTTTCATGATTTATTTTATATATATGTTTTACTTTATATATATATTTGGTTTTCCAACACAGGGTTTCTCTGTGGCTTTGGAGGCTGTCCTGGAACTAGCTCTTGTAGACCAGGCTGGTCTCAAACTCACTGAGATCCACCTGCCTCTGCCTCCCAAGTGCTAGGTTTAAATGTGTGTGCCACCACCGCCCGACTATTGTTTTCTTTCTTTAAAGGCTTTACTTTATCATTTTAAAACTATTTTATGACTGTCTATATCCATTTTCTTTCTTTCTTTAGCATCTAAGCTCATTTTAAAATATACTCTACCTGTTCAGAGGTTTTTCAGTCTGGACCTGACTTTCTGCAAATCTGCAGCGTTCTTTGACTGCTAGATAAGACTTAAACAGCTGCATGGCTCAGACAGCTGGCTCTACCTAACTATCCCAGCTCTGAGAGGCTGCTGTGTATGCACTGAGTCAGTCATTTTTATCTAGTCTCCAGCTGCAGAGTAGTGCATTGGCTGCTCATAGCAGTGCCTCTTAAATGAGCCGTGCCTTGTACGCTGTGAGCAGTAGCTCTGTGTAAGTGATGCACTTTGGACACCAAATATAACAAGTTTTTCTCTGTCCTGCCAGTTCCCAAATAATTACACGGAGACATCTTATTAATTATAAAAAACCATCCCATAGCCCAGACTTGTCCCAACTAACTCTTATAACTTAAATTAACCCATATTTTTAAGTCTGTGTTCTGCCACATGGCATTACCTCTCTACCATCTTGCACCTCCTGTCTCCTCTCCGTGTCTGTCTGGAGATTCCACCTTTCTTCCTCCCAGAGACCTCTCTGTCTCTGGAAGACCCACCTATACCTCCTGCCTAGCTATTGGCCATTCAGCTTTTTATTACACCAATTTAGGATGTCTTGCAGGAAAATCTTGAGTTTCATGCCAAGTTAGGCTGTCTCAAGGGAAAAAAAAAGGAAAAGAATTAACCTTTTCTGAGAGAGAGAGAGAGAGAGAGAGAGAGAGAGAGAGAGAGAATACGCATGTGATTTAAAGAGTCTCACTTTATAGCCCTGGCTAATCTAGAACTCACTTTTCAGATGAGGCTGGACTCAAATTAAGAAATCCTCTTACCTTTGCCACCTGGGTGCTGGGATTAAAGGCATGTGCACCACCACAACTGGCTTTATATGTATTATTTTTTAGTGCTTACTTAGAATTAGGATAGTCTTAATTCTAGGTTGTGGTAGTACACACCTTAGGCAGATCTCTGTGAGACTAGGCTGGTCTATAAAGCAAGTTCCAGGATAGCTAAGGCTACACAAAGAAACCATGTCTCAAATAAATAAACAAACTATATA